ACTTCAGACAATATAAATTTGATCTTCTTAAGATTTTTCCATGTTTAGAGAATTAAAATATAGTACAGGAATCTGGATATGACCTATTGCTTTAAAAAATATTGTGTACACATCTTGCAAGAATTGCATTACTGAATTTGTAATTAACTTTATCTATTTTTTACAATTAATTATACAACAATACTGGTTTACCTAAGAGTTATTTATGCACTGTGTTAGTGATTTAAGCTGAACCTAGCGATACATAAAAGAATAATTAGCATTATCATCCCTATATAATAATACGGTTTTATTGAATGTTCTAAGTTCTATACTATACACATGTTATGGGAAGATGGTTATATTATTTGTTATATTGTCTAATACCTTATACTGTAGGCACTGTCATTTTTTAAATACTCATAACCACGTTATCTTTGCTAATCAGGTTAAACAAGTTAAGCCTGATGTGCTTCTTGGACTTTCTGCAGTCGGGGGATTGTTCTCAAAAGAGGTATTTAGAATGCATTATGCACATGAAAAGTTTTTCGTTAAAATCTTAGAGTATTAGCATTTTCTTTTTTCATGCTTTTGGGATCATTTTGTATCTTGAGTAGTAGTTTTGCACTTCAGAAATGATAATGATAAAAATTTAACACATGGGTGTCCGGTAGCGCTTTTATCAAGAACGAAATGCTTAATTTTTCTAAATTAAGAACGTTTAATGTAGCAAAATTTCTCATTATAGCTTGCAAAATAAAATTTTTGTTTTGCCTCATGGTCATGTACAAATTCTGTTATTTTCAACCTATTTTGTAAGATGCAAATGCAAAATTTGTGGGGGTGGTCTAACCGTGAACCGTGAACTACAAAAGTACTAATGAACTGTCTCAGTTCTTTTGTGTTAACTGATTCACTGCATCTTTATCGGCCAAGTTTGTCATGTGATGAAGGATCATTTGTACCATGTTTGTTAGCTTGTCTTTTATTCCTTTCTAGAATTTGTATTGTGCTACGCCTGGCAGTTTTGTTCTTTCAAAGTTGATGCCAAGCAGATGTAAATTTTAGGTATTAGAGGCCCTTAGAGGTTCAACTTCAACTAGACCAGCCATCTTTGCAATGTCAAATCCAACAACAAATGGTATGCCTTTTTTTTCTTTTCGGGTCTGGGATTGGGGGAGAAAAGGGTATGGAAATTCAGCTTGGTTTGTAGTGTTGAGCTACATTGTTTTGTTTTGGAACAGCCGAGTGCACTCCCGAAGAAGCATTCTCTATCGTGGGTGACAATATTGTTTTTGCCAGTGGAAGTCCATTCAAAGATGTGGATCTTGGTATGTATCAAGAAACATTTTTTTTTTTCCTCATGCGTTTTTTCTTACTGTATGAATAAGCATAATTCTGGACTTCTTATCTAGTGTAACTGGTAACCGTTAACTGATAAGTATATTAAGTACTACGTTACTGATGTTTTTTTATCTATGACGAATTTGGGGCACAAATGGTTGTTAAAGGCAGAATTATCCTTGTACCTCATTCCTTTAATCAGGCAAATATGGGGCCATTAAGTTTCACTCCTTTTCTGCTTGTTTCCTTTCCTTATTTAAGGCGAACCTTCTTTCTTTTGGTTTGCTCATGTACATTTTGGGATGATTACATGATATTTTGAGGATTCAAATCCAGCTAATTAAATAAATGAAAACATTATTTTACAAGCATTTATAAGGACTTCTTGGGAAAACTCAAGCTTAAGGAAGATTTATTGGTAGTGGAAGGCAAAGTCTTCAAGATATTGTGTGGCCAAGGACCGAGGCAGGGAGACAAGTTCATGATTAAACCGGTCTGAGACTGGAAACCTTTTATGCTCAAATGAGATGGATCTCACACCCCCTTGATGCTCAGAATGAAAGATTTGACTTTTTATTGCAAAACTTAGACCTGAATCTGAGTATACGATGCATCATCTTAGATAGGTGATGGGTCAGAGAATTACCGAAATAAAATAACATAACTCTGACTTCATGCAACATACACACCAAGGCCAACAGTTGCTTGATTCTGATCCTGTTTGTGGCTCTCGGAGCATATGCCTACCAAATGAGAACTGAAAACCTTTTTTTCAGCCGTAGAAAAGATTTGTCAGCTTCGTTTAAATTTTATGATAGCTAGTAATATTCCAGATCTACGAATCATTTCTCTGCGTTCTTATATGTAAAAAGAATCACTACCAGAAATCTGAATCATTTCTCTGTATTCTTATTTTGATACATCTACACTACCGGAAGCTCTTACCTGACGTTCTATATTTTATAGGAAATGGCACTATTGGGCACTGCAACCAGGGAAACAACATGTACCTCTTTCCTGGGTTAGTTGTCCACTTTCCCTCTTCTGGAGTAATCCATATCCAACTTAAAATTTTCAGTCCTTACGTTTCATGATATAAATTCTACTTTGTTCATGCAGTATTGGACTTGGTACTCTATTATCTGGCTCCAGAGTCGTCTCTGATGGCATGCTACAGGCCGCAGCTGAGTGGTATTTCTCATCTACTTTATGAATCAGCTTTTACTGGATGTACATTTCGACAGTCTAGCTTGGCTCGAAAAGAATTTCACAATCTATGCATTTTATAAAATTAACCTTGCATCATCTGTTATAATCAATAAGATTCATGTTGCTTGACGCATAAAAAATGTGGTAAATAGTGTTAATTAATCAATTGAAGAGGGTCCGTTCCTCTTCTCCCAAGTATAAACTCTCCCTTGTATCGAAGTCAACTGTAATTGGACATGTGGGAAAGATAGTTAAGGATAACTCTCTTGTTAAGCACGTAATGCCAAGTATAAGGTTGTAACTGTATCCAACGCAAGTGGAGAGATATTGAGAAAGTATCCCAGAGAAGAAGATATCGAAGTCATCTGTAATTGGACATGGGGGAAAGATTGTTAAGGATAACTCTCTCGTTGAGCACATAATGCCAAGTATAAGGTAGTGACTGTACGCAACACAAGTGGAGAGATATTGAGAAAGTATTCCAGAGAAGTTTGTCAGAATTATTATGCTCCCCTTATTTGTGACTTGTTATTTTGTCCATCGAGGATATTTTTTGAAACTTTAGTGTGGAAAATTCTTCTTATTTGTTGTAGACTTTGGTTATGGTACAAATTTCTATTCCTGTTATATGATTATACGTACAGGTTTTTTCTTGAAATGCTATATGTGTGTGTGTGTGCGCGCGCATATGAAAAATTCAACTTTCTAGAGTATTTTCCATAGTATGCTTTAGGTTGTTGTGAGTTCTAACATTTGATTCAAAACAACAGCCTAGCAGCATATATGTCAGATGAGGACGTTCTTAAGGGGATTATCTACCCTTCTATATCTAGGTATAGTATCAATGGACTTAATTGCTTCCTTTTGTGTCATTTCCCCTGTTTTTATCTTTATTTGATGTTAAAGGATTTATACCCAAGCTCTTATGCATATCTATACACCGGATTCATATTTGCAGCATACGAGATATCACGAAAGAGGTGGCTGCAGCTGTGATAAGGGAAGCCATAGAGGAGGATCTAGCAGAAGGGTACCGTGAAATGGATGCTCGAGAGCTCCAGAAACTTAGTCAGGTATATCTGTTTTACACTTCTTTTGCTATTTCGGATGATAAGATACTTGAGAGTCTTTGTCTTATAATTCTATTCGAAGTACAAACCGACTTTGCTCATGAATCTAAATTTATGATGTCGTGTGAATATTGATGAAGGCTGTTATTTTATATCTCTATCCCGGTATTAATCAGTTTCCAGCCTTAATGGATAAGATGGTATGAATTTCATGATTCTCAAAACATTATCGATAGTCGAGATCAAACATAGTAATTGAAGTTTCATTCACATATTATTTCAATTTTTAGTTGTTGAACTTGTAACGGCCGCTTGTATGATTATGGATTGTAGGAAGAAATCAAAGAATATGTGCAGAACAACATGTGGAGTCCACAATACCCGACACTAGTTTACAGAGACGAATGACCGTCACCCACAGACGAGAAGTGTTGTATGTATCGATTCTTTTGGTCAAAACGTACGTGTTTTGTCACATTACTCTTCAATTGTGAGCATGTATCCTATAAGTTTTTACAATATCTTAGCGGTTCTTGTGACATATATATCTCTAACTTAAAAGTAAAGTTGCAGATTTTTGTCTTGTAATTTGTATCATAAACGATTCAAACTACATGGATCAAAATTGTAGATCGAGTTCTTCCATACTTTGAATGTATTACATACATTGTGCGTTTAGTAAGATCCACACCTCTGTCATGAACGACAGAAGAGAAGGCCAAGGGGATACTTTTGACAGGATTGGCACGTAACACATGATAAATGCCCAATGTATACGTCTCATCTGTTTGGTTCATAAGAATATTGTCAGGCCCAAAGGGATACTTTGACAGGATTTTCCGCATGCCGTATGAAGCAAAACGTACTTAAAAGACCTCCGTCGCGGTCATGGATGATAAAACCACTGCATTGGTGGTTTCAATCCTGTGATAGGTGCCATCATCTGGGAACATTGTACCCATCTCTCGACGTTGTCCAGCAATACCCCCATGTATCTGCAGCTCGTAGACAAACAACGTTTGATATCCACTGTTTGATACACTGATGTCCATGTTTACGCACAAAACAAGTCTCTTTGTGAACTTGTACTCTGTTCCTAAGTTAACGTACCAAATTGGCAATTGGTAAAATGTACGATTAGTTCAAAGTTTTGAGTCCACATTTACCAAGTTCATAACTTCAGATTAGATTAGATTAAAATAGAATATCACGAACCTGGGCAAAGATTTTCTGTTACAAAATTAGGACTTTCAACATAATTTTCTTAGGAGTCACTCCTCCATTAACAATAATGTGGCGTCCGTTTTTCATAAGAATGTCATTTGTTACTTTAACCGACCCTTCATTTGTTCAACACATACATATTGCCAGTCTAATTTGATGCATTAACTCTAGAAGGAAGCATAAAAATAATTTGGAATTGAAGAGTAAGTAATTTTGACATAAGAGGCACACACTTGAGAGTTCGCTAGTAAAAACCTCATGGTTTAAACCCTCCACCAGGCAGTAAAATGTACGCAAGTAGAAGCCAGGCAAGATGCCCATGTCTGCATGTATATCCTCATAAACATCGTCTTTCATGCCTACATTGCTCAAACAACACCATGATAACGTAATTTACTTCCACAACTTGCGCAACGACATGTTCTTCTCGTTCTCCTTCTTCATTACCTTGGCCACTGCCATCTCAAAGTCTTCTTGCGTTACGTGAACCCTTCTCTCCCTCAATGCAAACATTCCAGCTTCTGTACAAACGGCCTGCACAACGAAAAAATAAATCGAGAATAAAGATTTGATACAGCACACAAAACCTCGCTCAGTGATAAACCCCGAGGGGAAAAAAAAAGAAAGTACCTTCAGTTCTGCACCAGATGCACCATTCATCTTCTCTGCAATCTTCTTCAGGTCAATTCCACGCATCAAATTCATTCTTCTTGAATGAATTTTCAAGATGTCCCAACGAGACTGCAATTTGTGAAATGCATTAGTAAGTAATGTATTCAAGTCATGTCTGATAAACTAGGCAATGACAGCAATCAAAGGTACAATTGGACTAGAAGGCAAACATGCAAGTATTGCAATTTTTTTTAATGCAAAACCTCCAACTTCTGTGGCTTTTTCTTTTCTTATCTGACTTATTCTTATCTATTCAGATCGGAAAGCAACTGCACTCTACTAAAGCAGTTACTGCTGACCAACCTCCATAGTATACAGACAATCAATAGAATAAATGCTGACTTATGACAACGTCAAACAACCTACTGCAAAGGATCGATTCTATTATAGTGACCGGCATGTACCTCTTCACTAGGATTTGGAAACTCAATCTTCCTGTCAATTCGTCCAGGCCTAAGGAGAGCTTGATCCAGAATATCAATACGATTTGTAGCCATTAAAACCTGTCAAGGATGCAATTGAAAGAAGACCAGTGGTCAGATGAAAATTAACACAAAGAAACATTATACTGTGTTTCTAACCGGTGAATCCACATTCTGATCAGTACCTTGATCTTGTTTGATGCCTCAAACCCATCAAGCTGGTTGAGAAGCTCAAGCATAGTCCGCTGCACTTCACTGTCCCCATTGCCACTACCAGATTCCATACGAGCAGATCCGATACTGTCAATTTCATCCATAAAAATGATAGATGGCGCATGTTCCCTGAAATAAAAACCAAATTAACATAAGTTAAGCAAACAAATGAGTGCAAATCAGATTAGCAACTGTAAGTGAGTGCATCCCATAATCATTTTCAATCCATTTGGACTGGCAGGCTTGACAAGATCATTGAATGATTACAGATTCATCCAAAACCTAGTTCATTGCAGCAATATACTTGAAAGTTCAGGGAGAACCTAATAAGATACTGTTCCTTTCGCTCTTCAAAGTGCCATAGACCGGAGAAACATATATGCCCCAGATGACTCCATACTACTAATACTGATGCCAACAGCCAACATTACAATTATGAATATTTAGCCTGCTCTAGCTTAGGATAGCCGTCCACGGCATAAAGCAACAAAATTTTAAATCAAGGCAACAAAGTAATAGAAACAGAAATCTATAACCAATCTTGATGTGAAAGATCAAAACCAACCTGGCCATTACAAAAAGTTCTCTGACCATTCTAGATCCTTCCCCAATGTACTTCTGGACCAGCTCCGAACCAGAAACCCTGATGAATGTACAGTCAGTGTGATGGGCCACAGCCCTAGCCAAAAGTGTTTTCCCAGTGCCAGGTGGTCCATAAAGCAGCACACCCTGTTGTATTGAAGTGTTAGTTTCAAGGAAGAAATGTAAGTTGTAACAGTTAGCGCCTATCTAGTAAGCAAATAATGAAATGTGATAACTTGGCAAAATAGTATTACCTTTGGCTGAGCTATACCAAGACTCTCGAACAGTTCAGGATGCTTAATTGGAAGCTCAATGACCTGGAGATGGAAAGATTTTTAAACATCATTTACAACACATGTAGAAGAAAGTGTATATGTATTATCAAATAAAACAAGCCAAAACACGAAAATGCAGGGGAAAAAAAAGGGTAGGCATGTGCAAAAGCAAACCTCCTTTATTTCTTTGATTTGCTGATCCAGACCACCAATCATATCATACGTAGAATCAGGAACTTTTTCAACTTTCATAAGGTTGACCAAAGGATCAACTTTGCTTGGCAAGACCAAGTGCAGCACGTAGCTGTCATTACGGAGAGCAACCCTTGTTGATGGCGTGATCTTTGTGATATCAATGTTTTTATCAATATCAACGACATATTTCCCTTCTGGATGAACCTGGAAAACAAAAGAAGCAAATTACATAAAAAAGGTATCAAACAATTTAGTTAGCATAATTAATGAATACATTGAATAGTCTTGTAATTAAGTCAAGTTGCATAATTTTCAACTTGATCTTAAAGATTTCCTACTTACCTTAACCAAAACCTTGTTCTTTCCCATTACTTTAACAACTTCACCAACATACGATCCGGGCTCCTGAAGCAGCTGCAGTTCTTCCCTGAGCATTCTCACTGTTCAAGTTGCAAATTTAAATAAGTCTAATTGATCAACTGAAAACTCCAACTTGACTTGCGACCATGTTTAAAGGATGAAGAAAAATAAATTAGGAAGAAAAAAAAAGGCAACAAGAAATCCAAGTAAGCAAAAACACCGATTAATTGACATTGTGATCGGTATTAGATAATACAAACTGCGTACTTGCTCAAGTACATAACAGACAGACACTGTTAGAAAAATTTGAAATAGACCTTGATTACAACCCACTTTCCAATGCTGAAATCAGATGATTTCATATTATCCCCTCTGTTATTATAGTTGAGTATGTTTCTACTCCAGTTTACCGGTATACATCTCAGTTATAATTACACTAAGACAACAAAGAAAAATAATCCGAGCATACGCATCTTCACCCCTCGACGAAACACTCAGAAGAGAGTGAGCAAGCACATTTCCTATATTCATGAAACCGCGTACCACGTTCCAGTTTTCAATCTAAGATATTTTCAGACAGAAGAATTCAACAGCCTAGTTTATTAAAGACCAAAACTTTCCTAGTATTATCTTGAATTTCCTACCGAATTTATCAATCATCGTCCTCTTCAACATTTAATTTCCTAGATATCAGTCAACCAAACCAAAAAAAATAAAATCTTGACCTTAATTTCCCCAAACACAAACCGCAATGCAAGACCTAAAATCCACAACAGACCAAACAAAACTGAAAATTTTGAAGAATCAGAAATTAGGGTTTTGGAATTAGGGGAAAATCGAACCTCGGGAATTGAGCTCGTTGCGCTGAGCTTCGAGTCGATTGAGGTTGTGAGTCTTCTGGCGGACCTGGAGCTGAAGCTCGTGGATGTGCTGGAGGTAGTACTGCCTCAGTCCCTCGCCTTGCTTGGAGGCCTTGGCGGAGCACGTCTCCTCCGGCGCGGCGTCCGGGTGCTTGATCTCGACTCCGACGGCAGCCATTGCGATTCTTTAGGTGGGATTGGTGCAGTGGTTGGTGTCGGTGCGTGGCGTACTGTATCTGAGAAGTCGGGAGAAACCGAGAATAAAAGGTTGTATTCGTGTTGTACAAGAATTCTGAATTCCTATGTATTGGGCTTTATTTTAGCTGGGCTTTCAGTTGGGTTAAGAGCTGCAAATTATTTAGGGGCCCATGCTGTTAATTTGAGATTTTTCTTTTAAATTTTGTAAAATGGGCGAGGGTTTAGGGGGTGTTCGTTATTAATGACTTTTATTTTGATAGAATACGATAGCTTTATTTCATCATCTCAAGTAGATAACATATCTTGGTTGACTACACCCCAATAGTATATGGGGGTTCCTTATACAAAACTACTATAGAGTCACTACTTAAACACATCTTAGCAAGGTGATGTGCCATTCCATTACAAGAATGAGGAACATACGAGATTGTACATCCACGAAACTGGGATACCAACTCCATAACATTAGCTATAATAAAGCCAAGGCTGCAGAAATCGGTTGACCCACCATTGTAATCATTTACTACTTCGAGTCAATCAATCTCCACCTACACATGGTGGCAACCCAACTTTCTAGCAAGCAACAGACCCTCCTGCAATGCCATAAGCTCCACCTGTTTTGCATAAATGACACCTTGAAAACACCACGAGCCGACTTCCTTGAAAGCTCATCCTGCACCTCATATCACCCCTCCCCGACACCTCCTACACCCACATCCACCTTTGCAGCAGTGTCAACATTCAGTTTAAACCAACCATCACTAAGAGCCAATCATCATCGTTGCTACTTTGGCAATTTAGAATGAAGGGGTTAAGTATTAGCTAGACGAAACTCCTGCCTCCATGCAAAAGTACGTTGTACCAACACTGAATGATCCCTCTCACACCAGTGTTGCGATCTGTCCACAACGCCCACGAAAGCATCAACATAGCATCAAACTCCACCTATTTAAACTCCAAAATGTAGGTTAGCCACTCCTTCACTGATTCATGGTACGCAAATCCATCTCCAACACCCAAAGGAGTAGCAGCTTATACCGCTCGAGCAAAATTGCACTCCCTCAGAACATGGTTGCTTGTCTTAAGAGCATCATCACATCGCGGATAAAAGGTCTCCATTCACACTCATTTTTTAATCAAATTGGCTCTAGTATGGAGGATTTCAATACACATTCTTCATCCACCTACCTTAACGTTTGTTGAAGTTCCTCGCAAAATGATTTCGGAAGTAAGAACATGACTGGCATACACTAGTAAGGCTTAGTTAACAACCTTCACTAGCAACTCTCTGCCCCCACTACTAAGAAGCTTACCTTTCCACCCATTAAGCTTTTGGTAACTTTTTTCTTTGATGAACGAGAACTGTTTATTTCTTGTTCATCCTCATAAAAGTAGGGAGACCCAAGTATCGATCATGTCACTCGACTAGTTGCACCCCCAGAAACGAGGCAAGTTGGTACTGTAAAGTCGGGGCCACATTGGCACTAAAAGCAACATAACTCTTAAGAAAATTGATCTCATGTCCCAAAGCTTGAGAGTATATGTCTAAAACATGTTGGATCACCCCGCAATCCTTAACTGATGCTCGTGATAAAAAAAGAAACTGTCATCTGCTGAACAACAAATAATGTAGACATGGTGCATAATAGTGATATGAATCTCATGCAGTACTGCCTCCCTTTCTTTCCTCATAATTAACGCTGATAAGCCTTCCACACAAAGAAGAAAAAGATATGGCAAGAGGGGGTCGCCTTGTCTCAACCTTCAGTGGAGGCATAAGATAACATTTCACCTCGCTATTCACCTAGAAAAGAATACGTGATCGTTAACACACAGGTCATAATGAGTCAGACCCATGCATTTGCAAACCCAAACCGTAGCAGAACGACCTCAAAAAACCTCACTTCACTCAATCATACGCCTTATTGAGATCTAACTTTGGAGCTAAGTAACCATCCTTGCCACTCCTCTTATTATGTAAGAAGTGCCCCACCTTGGCTGCTAGTAGTGAGTTGTCAAAAATTAACCTACTAGGAACAAAAACACTCTGAAAAGGCGAAATTATAGAGGCAATCAAAGGCTTCAAACGATTCGCTATCACCTTAGCATATATTTTGAATAAAACATTACACAAACTGATTAGACATAACTGAGTCATATCTGGGGTTCTTTCACGTTTGGAATCACAACAACATGTGTAAAACACACCTCATTTGACTCAAAGAACGAACGCACTGCTTCAACAACATCCTCACCAACAATATGCCAAAATTTTGGTAGAATAATGGGGACATTCCATCCGGCCTCAGGGACTTTAAGGGGTGTATTTGGAAGACAACAAGCCTTACTTCCTCCACAATAACTGGTGCAAGTAGATCTCATTCATTGCACTCGTCACATAAGGGATAATAACATTGAACACGATTTGGAGTGCATTTAGTAGTATACCCTGTGATGCAAAGATATTAAAGAAATAACTAAGCACAATACTTTCTGTACCTTTGCGGAGACTTGTGCCACGTCCCTACCTCGTCCCTTAGGCCCTTTATAAAATTCTTCCTCCACCTATTGGAAGCTTTCTTATGGAACCACTTTGTATTGCAATCTCCTTCCTACAACCATGTCGTATGTGATTGCTGCCTCAAGTAGATTTCTTCACTTGAAAACAGCGTATCTAACCCTTCTATTAAAATTTTCTTTATACTAAAACATCCTCCATGTAGGGCTGTTTAAAAAGAACTCACAGTTTGTCTCTAGCAATCCTTATCTCCTTTTATGTATTGCCCAAAGAACTACACTGCCAGTCAAGCAACACAACTATAATCACCTTGATTTTAGAGCAAACTTGGAAAAGCTTGACACCTCGAATGCCCTGACTCCATCCTTTCTTCACCATCTCTTCATACCCTTCATTTTTCAACGACATCTCCTCAAAACAGAAACGCATGGTCTTTTTACGAACCGTTTTAAGTGAAGCTCGAATTTCTAATAACAAGGGAAGATGGTCCAATTACAAAGGATTCAAGTGCACCACTCATGTGCAAGTAAAAAAGTCCTGCCAATCCCGAGTAGCAAAACCTCTATCCAAACAACATTTCACACCATCCTCACTATTTTGACCCTATATATACTCATATCCTACAAACCCAAGGTCCACCGGGTTGCAAGAGTTCACTGCCTCTCAAAACAAACCCATCTACCTTTCCGCTCGAAGGTTCCCTCCTAGCTGCTCATATGAGCTGAGCACTTTGTTAAAGTCCCCCGCACATAGCCAAGGAAGAGCACTTCGATATCAATGACTTTTAGTATCAATATTCTCTTGGTCATGTATCAATTTATAGAGATTTATGATGTTATTGGTTGAATATGTTTTGGGTATTTTGAATTGCAAATTATATTAAGTGGCTATATTCAATTGCGAGTTTAAAAGATTTAAAAGAGTTTACAAATTTAAGGGTATTAAATTAAAATTTTAAATGAATTTATGGAAGTTCATAGGTATTTAATAAAAAAATTATTTCATAAACTTCAAAGGAATCTGGTGTATTTAATTAGGATTTTAAAGTAGTCCATAAAACTCCATGTGTATTAAATTAGGAATTGATTTTAAAGTGTTTTAAAAAGTTAAGGATTTTGATGCGCTTAGAAGGATTTTATATGGTATTTTAGGCTCTAGGAAATCAGGCATCTCCCCCTAAGATTTCGTAAAACCCCATTGGGTAGGCATTCAACCCATTATGCTACTATTTTATACTCATATTTCCTTTCATTTGCATGATTAAACATCTAGTCATCTGTCCCTTCTTTATCTCCTTAAGGTTTCTCTAAGAAAGCCTAACATCGATTGGCAAACTTCACCGCATTTGCATAGAGCTGCCAGATAATTTTTCGTTTTTGAGCTTCAGAGTGATGGGCAAAAAGTAATAAAACCTAATAATGGATTAAAAAAAAAAATCAAAGTTGAAATTTTGATGGTCCAACAAAATTGAACCAAAACCTATGTGGGCTAGAAAAACAAGAAAATGTGGGACCAAAAAGGCCCAGGCCTAAATTTGGGCTAGGTTGGTGCACGGGCCGAAGCTGGATAGAAGATTGCAAGCCTTTTGGGCTTTTCCAGAAGCAGGCCCACACAGGGCAATTAGCAGGAGGCCTACTAAATGTGATCTTGTGCTCTGGTGTGTAGGGACACCAAAGCCTTTACGGGTTGCTGTCATACGGTTCGAGAGTGAGCCAAGCCCAGATAGGCTGGGTGTGCAGACCAAAGGGTCCAAGCCCAAAGTGGGCTAAGGTTGGACCAAAAATAGGACACCTCAGCATCGCTGGGTTTGGTCGATGGTGCAAGAAAACTAGTGTCGCCATTTCAGGCAATCGTATCCTGGGTCGGGGACGGTTGCTGCAAGCCTAAGGTTCGATGGTGAACCAATTTTGGCGACGAAGGGGATCCTCGACATCGGTGAGTGTGAGAATCGAGAAGAGTCTACTTGAATCCCTCGAAAATTTAACAAAATTCTTTTGGAATTTCGAAGAACATCGTTGGGAGACAATGAAATCATTCCCAAAGAAATATGACTTCAACCTTAAGGTCGTGATTAGCCAGAAAATGACGAGTCATGCTTGGTTACAGCCCAAGGCTCCTGAGCTCGCGGCTCAAAGTGGCTCAGCTACGCAGGCTGCTAGTGGCTAAAGCCTCGCTGGGTTTAAAAATCTTAATTTTTGTTTTTTTTTTCTTTATTCACATATCAATTCACATAATTGTATAATTATGAATATAATGCATAAACAATTTATGTAGAATCTAAAATTTGTGAACGTAAAGTTGGACATGCATTATGGTGAAGGTTCATGCAATCAAAGCTGAACAAATATCGAAATGAAAAACTGTTGTTTTAGAAGAACCTAATTAGTGATGATATTGGTGAACTGGTTTGTAGCAGAAAATTTCTTGTCAAATTCCATAACACGATGGAGGAGCGTGCTGATAACTAGCCTATTTAATTGGAAGGGAACAGACGGGTGGGACAAGAGAGAATGGAGAAATTATAGGGATTTCTTGTGTGTTGT